AGGTGATGCTTGGGATCATCATGGGGGTCCAACCCAAGATTTGCACGACTCTGACTTTGAATGTTACAGTCATTGTGGCATTGAATTCCAGGGTGGAAACATCAGTTTAATTGTTTTAGTGACCAGAAAACAAATTTTGATATGCGTCGGCTTACCCAAAATGAAAGGTTACGTGCCCTTGGCATGCTACAGATCGGCACAACACAGGCGGTTGTGGCGCGGACGATGAATGTTTCTCAGTCTGTCATAAGCAGGCTATGGTCCAGATACCGTGATACACAATCTGTACAGGACAGACCACGCTCAGGTCGACCAAGGGCGACAACTCAAGCCCAGGATCGATTTATCCGTACCTTGGCCTTGAGAAATCGTGTCATCACAGCAAATCAGATCAGCGCTCGTCTTCAAACAGACACTGGTGTGAGAGTGAGTGGCCAGACGATTCGGAATCGACTGCATAGGGGTCACCTTCGCGCCCGACGTCCTCGCGTGATCCCTTGTTTGAGAGATCATCACATTCAGGCAAGACGTCGTTGGTGTAGGGATCGTCAACACTGGGATAATTGACGCTGGAGCAATGTGATGTTTTCAGATGAGTCAAGGTTCACTGTTGATTTTTTGGACAGACGTAGGAGGGTGTGGCGTCGTCGAAACGAGCGCTTCCAAGACGTTAACGTCATCAGACATGATCGATTTGGGGTTGGTTCTGTTATGGTGTGGGGAGGCATCACTGTTGCTGGAAGAACGGCTTTACATGTTGTTGCAGGGCGTGTTACAGGCCAGTACTACCAGGACAACATCTTGGCAGTCCATGTTGTGCCGTTCGCACGACGTCATGGCCGCCGTTTCATCTTCCAGGATGACAACGCAAGATGTCACAGGGCCAGGATCGTTACAGGTTACCTCCAACAACAGAACATCACCACATTACCTTGGCCAGCACTGAGTCCCGACCTCTCCCCCATCGAGCATGTCTGGGACATGCTTGGACAGAGGTTACGTCAACGTCAACAACGTCCTGCCAATGTCCAAGAACTTGCTGCTGCGTTGCAACAGGAATGGGACAATCTGGACCAAAATGACCTTAGACGTCTCATTAGGAGTATGCCACGTCGGATCAATGCTTGTTTGGCAAACAGAGGAGGATTTACCCGTTACTGACTTGGTTGTGATGCTGTGGTAACTTTGCTGTTTGACCCCGGGTATCATTTTACCCTTATAATGGTCAGTCTGTGCCTTACTTAGTCTAACGATCATTTGGAATAAATCGATGAATGTGAACTTCATTTCATTTTGTCATTTGTTTCTTCGTCAGTTTCATTAGGTGACTTTAATAACACTTAAAAATCAAATATCCCCTACTTTTTTTGAATAGTATATCTTTAAATCGTTCTACTACAATATTGTCAAAGTTACTGAAATTTTAATGCAATGAAATATAATTGATTTTGTAATTAATACTGCAGACAACAGTCGTATTGATACAATTGACAGCTTTTTAATAAAATACAAAGCATAAAATTAGGATGTAAACCTAGCGATAAATTCAATACATTTAATTACACGGTAACGTTTCTTCTTTCATCTGTCTACACACATAATTAACTTTATAAAATTAATTCAAATCTACTGTATTTTACATGATAAACATCTGAAAGAAATTCTGCCTACTTATTAATTTGAAATTAAATGCAATTGACTTGTTATTTTTGCCACATCTCGAAATTCACATCTATTTTAACAATGACTATCAATGTCACTTTTTAACACCATTCATACGATCATGTGTCCTTACTAAATTTGACCTCAGTGTATGTGCCAGAAAAACTATTATTTAAGATTGATGATCAGAAAATTCAATGAATATTTACTTTTAACTAATAGTCAGTGATATATAAAGATTACCAAAACATTTGATACAGCAGTTTTATTAGAGCAGAAACTAATTATGTCATTAACTTGTCTGTAGTACACCTCAATTACATATTTATATATTCCATTATTTCATTTAGGAGATAAACACCGAATTTATCGTACTGTTAACGTCCGCTTTATACAGCTTAAATTTTTCATTAGCGTTACTCGTTCGCTATGCGATCTTGGCCACTTAATGATTTAAGCGGTGTTTATCGATACTGTAGCCTACAATATTTAACATTTTTCTTGGAATCCTTTCTATTGCTATTATTGACGTAAAATCATTTTGACGTAATGAAAACTTCCACGACGTAATGAGATAACACGTTAGTCTTGTTTGATTTAGTTCACTGAACGACTGGTTACTGCTGTCTGTTTGCAAAGGGAGGCCACTCTACGTTAATTTTTAACATCGGAACAGAATTTGTGTGTTCTATGTATATGTTAAATGATTTTGAACTCCAGCAGTGACTATGTTCGAAATAAATTGCACATCATGTGTGATAAATGTCCATACACTCGTGTGAACATGTAGATATATGCTGTGTGGCGTACATCGCCACCCCGATTTGAAAACACACTTGTCATTTCGAAGGTGAGATTTTTTTCTTCGCCAAAAACTTGTTTTTTTCAAAATTCGTCTGTCCTCAGACATGTCTGCCACTCTTGTAATGTTTTAGCCTATATCACAATCGGTTATTATCAGTTTTGTGAGAGTTTCGTAAATTGTATTTATAACAGAATGGTCATCTCATGGCCATAGCAACTATTATTGCCACTGAAATCAAATTTAATTTTTATCTTTCAAATACATTCACTATATATAACTTTGTATTTTTGCGTTTCAGGTTTGTGTTTCAATAAGCCAATGGTCGAATTTCATTGTTGATGACATACATGCGACATTTCATGAACATTTCCTAAAATAATGTCTTGAGGTGTAGAATTTTTTGCCACTGCAAAGAGATTTCCATTTTGGGATAATATCTGTTAGGTCTATTCAGCTGATTAAATTGGACATTTAAAGGCTCAATACCACTCTTGTAACTGAATAATATGTCCCAATCTTTATTCTGGTCAAGAAATTGTACTAATTTACAATATTCCAATTAATTGATGATACAAATTTCATCTTAACACACCTAATTTAAAAAATTGGAAAAATTCAACTAAATGATTTGAAAAGCGAGACGTAAAGCTTTTCAAATGTGACTTGGATTTAAAAATAGGATTTAACCCTTTCACTGCGTATACCCGGTAGTACCGGGTATTATAAAATGTCGGTAAAATGCCCGTACCCGGTATTACCGTGTACTCAGTAAAGCCCTCGCTAAAATTAGTACCGTAACTGCAAGTGCCATCTATTGTATTTTCTATACACTAGAACATATTTCCACGTGTTTCAAAGCAGCAAACCGTAAAATGGCGGAGTGCATTGTGACAACGTAGACGATGCACTCTCGACGAAGTCGTGAATGACGTCTTGCTGACCAACATGTGGACAATTTCGAGGCGGGTGATACACATAATTCGTTTCCAGTTACTTGATAATGATAGTAGTCAGGACAGTGATTGGTATTATGAAGTGTGTGATTTGTTGCGCGACGTTCCGCCCATGGCTAGCTATGTCTCCCGTGCATGATGAACAAGCCCAATGTGAACACGATAGCCCTGTGTCTGCAGTAGATTCTGACAATAATTCTGATGTTGATAATAATGCTGGCCTGCTGGATCGTAAAATACGTAGGTAATTCCTGATTCCCGAACGTGTAGATCTATTGACTGACTATATTGATAATGATATGGGACTTGGGGATGAAAGTGAAAGTGAAAGTAAAAACAAGGTATTGCAATCCGCACGTGGTCATGGCAGCGGGAGACGTGATGCGCGTGTTCGCGGCGGCATTGCTCATGGCTGCTATTGATATTTTTGTTCATTTTATATATCTTTATCAAAATCCAGTAAAAAAAACCATATCTTTTAAGTATTTCATGGAGAAAAATTCGTTTTCGTGTTAGCTTTAGTGTGAAATGAGAAATCCAAAATGGCCGCCATGACGTCACGTGACTACATTATTATGCAAATTTCCAAAATTCTATTTTTTCCTCTTAGCCCAACCTCATGCCCATCCCAACAGACAAAAAGATTTTTCATAAAAGCTTCCATAAGTACTGCTTGGCATTCAGTTCCAACCTCCCTTTTTTCCTCAAAAAAGGGTCTAGCACAGGCAGTGGATTTACGTCTAGCATTGAAAGGGTTAATGGATAATTTACACAACAGGTAGGACACTTACACATCTAGTACTTAGAATAAGGCTATTTATTTTTTGGAGCTGTCAAGCCAGCGGGAGTGTTATTGTCCCTTTAAAAAGGTAGGCAGACATGCAATGAAACATAGCTAAGCCAGCCAAGCAGTCCATAAAGGTTATCACAATGTGAATAGAATTATAGACAAGAGGTTGCCATGCAAGATATGCCAGCATTTTGCAAGAGATTGACAGAGAAACAGCTAAAAAAAAAAAAAAATGTGATTTTTTTGTACAATCAGGGGCCAAAATCCAGGAAGTTACAGTCTGATATGCACGCATATCGAAAGCAACCCCAATCTTTTGGATATCAGTTCTTCACGTTCACAAAATGGAGGGGGAGCCATAAAAAAAAAAAAAAATCTCCCCATTTCAAAATATGAAAAAAGCTCCAATAAAAAAGCTGCAAGAGTAATTCTACATTTTCTTAAATTAAGGAGAGCCAATTGTATTTATGCTTTAAGTCTCGTCTCATATTCTTTATTATGTCACAATATGCACAAAAGACCAAACCAGGTTGACAAACCCATTTTTGTCCCCCTCCGTGGCTATTCAACCAATTCCTTAATAAATGTAATGTGTCAACCAATTCCTTAATAAATGTAATGTGTCAACCAATTCCTTAATAAATGTAATGTATGTAATGTGTCAACCAATTCCTTAATAAATGTAATGTATCAACCAATTCCTTAATTACACTATAAATGTAATGTGTCAACCAATTTCTTAATTACACTATAAATGTAATGTCAAACTGTAAATATTTAAAAATATTACCTCGCTTTTCTTCTTCAACAATATCTCTAGCCACGTTTCTATAAATCGTTGGATCGAGGGCTTTCGCAATTCTGTATGGTAATGGAGGTGTTAACTTCAAGGCTATTTTCTGAACAAAAAAACAAAACAAGATAATGTCATCTAAAGATGCAAGTTCGTATTGGGTATGAATAGATTAGGATTTATCCCATTAACTCAGTCAATGAAATTTAGGTTAGATACATCAAAGTGCTCTCGAATACTATGAATGTCAAAATTAAAGGCAACTTTTCTCCTGGGGAATGTAGATTTTTTTACAGCAAGAACTTATTCAACTGCAATGTACCTGCAATGTATTTAATTCAACTCAGCTGTGACAGTCACTATAGCGATGTTAATTTATTGAATGCATAAAATTTTACTCGTTCTCAGAAATATTTGAAGACTACTTCCTCTATACACAATATAACCGAGGTAATAATAACTTTCGAGTTTTATAGATCAATTGATCACCTGTTAAACATTTCATTAACAAACCAATTGTTAAGTTTCAGTATAAATCATTGACTATGTATTGTATTTCTTATCTATTTACACTTACCCACCCCCAGGTCATTAGCTCAATTAAAAACTGTATATTATATAAAGCATACCTACGAGGGCTGGCTGAAAAGTTCTCAGCCTTAAAAAGATTGATCAACTGGATTGAAACAAACTTTAGCCACCAACAAGTATAATCACTGAATGAATCATAGACATAAGAACTGTTACTGTAGTGTTATTATTGTCTTCATACCAGACCATCTTGTGAACCTATCCATTGAAATCACCAGAAATGGACGAAACTGGCTATAAAGCATGCCGACATGGTCTCCACTCGAGGGGATAATGCCCCCTTTTCCACAGTAAAAAAAAGTGGGCTGCAGAATTTAAGCGTGGCATAGAGAGCCTTGACAATGTCCAGCACCTTGGAAGGCCACTAACAGGAACCATTCATGAAAACATTACCCGGGTGCATGACATGGTGATGGCTGTTCGACGATTGACCACTCGACATATTGTCAGTGTTGTATCTCTATGAGAGGACCGAGTACATTATCCCCAACGAGTTAGGAATGACAAAAGTTTGTGCAAGATTAGTGCCAAAGCTCTTAACTGCAGATGAAAAATGTGTCAGATTCCTGAAGTCCTGTGACAATCTGCGTCGTTTTGAAGCAGATCCAGATAATTTTTTGGCCAGATTTGTAACCATGGACGAGACCGGTTTCCATAAATGAAAAGATAGGTTGCCAGGCAACAAAACATACACCCACAGCAGCTAAATCACCGAGCGGTGGACAAGGGTTGTCGCATATTTATTCTTTTTTAGGTAATTAGGGGAATTTAATAGAAAATTTCATACAGATGACATTATAATTTTCGTCGTTTGAGGGTTCACAAGGCTTTTTCGTTTTACTACTTTAAATAATGCATATAAATTTCATACAGGTCGAATGATAACTTTTGTCGTTCACAAGGTTCAACAAAGTAAAACAAGGGCCATAACTCTAGAAGTAATGGACGAAAATTGCTGACATTCCATAGGTTTCTTTATTTCACTAATTTAAATGATGCATATGAATTTCATACAGATTTTGTGATAACTTTTGTCGTTTAGAGCGTTCACAAGATTCAACAAAGTGAAACAAGGGTCATAAACTCTAGATGTAATTAACAGAAATTGCTGAAATTCAATAAGCTTCTTGGTTGTACTAATTTAAATGATGCATATAAATTTCATACAGATCGGATAATAACTTTTGTCTGTAGAGTATTCACAAGAAATTGTGGATGACGTAAAGACCTACCGCCCGACGGGGGCAAAGGCAATATATGACCACATTTCCATGTGGGTGTATAAAAAGGAATCGGCCCGTCATTATTTTCCTAGTAATTATGACATATCAGCTGTGAACGACTTTATTAGGGTGGCTGAAGAATACCTCTTCCTGCCTGGCATCCAGGCTTTGCAATATCGTTGGCAAAAATGTGTACACTTAGAACTTTTCAGCTAGCCCTCGTACCAGGGACTTGAAGCAAACTTTTGATAGATTAATTAGTTTTAATATATTTTTAGTCCAGATATATCAAACCACAGTTTGTACACTGAAGGCATCTTTAATTGTAAAGCATTGAGCAATCAAACTTGGCCTATCCAGAAAATGCTCAATATGAAACTTGGCCCAGATATTGATGCAATATATTTATACAAGTTTTTATTCCTCTCAATCAATTAGAATCAAAGTTATCGTGTCCCAAAACATCGTCCAAGCAAATTGCTTTTCTCTGCTTAGCCCCAGCAAGTTATTCACCTACACCAAGTTTGGCAGAAACCAGGTGATTCAAACTGTGACGACAGTATTTGAATAAGTTATCTTTTAGTTTATTTCAATATTCATTAAGATACTAATATGGACTTCCTCATTAAACTAAACATCTTTTGAAGGTAAATTGTTTCAATGGTATTTATTAATTGAACTGGAATATATAGGTCACAATTCTATGGAATACAATTACTGCTTATTACTGAGGGACGTTTGATACTGACTAGGGAAGAGCGAAGTTTGATACTGACTAGAGAAGAGCGAAGTTTGATAACAACTAGAGAAGTCTAGTGGAAACATCCCTCAGTAATAAGCAGTAATTGTATTCCATAGAATTGTGACCTGTTTATCTTTTGAAGATAAAACAGTCAGCCCTGAGGGTAGAGAAATGTTCTTTTCAACATAAAATTATGGTGCCCCAAGGTCTCGATGATATATTTATAAGTACACCTACATAATGAATTTTCACATGTTGTCCATATATTACTAAAATTATTTTGACATAATATTTATCTTATTAAATTTTTCTCATCATAAACTCCTGACACAACATAATAGAGCTGGGCGATATTTTGATATAAAACCGTCACAGAAATACAGTCCTCAGAAAAATATTGATAAACCAAACATACCGCGATATATCCGATTTTGAATTTTCTGGCTGATATTTTAAAACTAAAGCGATATCTGTTTCCAGGGATATCGTCCAGCTTAAGTAGATAATATTATTTATCAATGATGTCGAAGACTTTTTCACTTACCTGAGACAAGTCAAAGGATGCATTATCTGAATTTGATAGATTTTGAGTTCCACTAAAACAAAAACAAGAGTTTATGTCACAGGTGTTTAAACCAATCAATAACCAATCAATAAACTGGGAGTAAACTAACATAATATTGACAGGTAATTTCAGTTTATACTATACACCAATATCGAAAAACAATTGAGTAGGCTAATTCACTAGACAATATTAAAAATATTAATTCAGAATACAGATGGCACCTCATAAAATATCAATTAATCTTTTATAGACTAGGAAATCGAAGGAACCTCAGAAAACCCAGAGGTTGGACAGGTGACCCTACTCCTTGTCAGATACAACCGGGGAATCAAAACCACACCAGTTGACTCAATGACAGACCTTTGATACAGCGAGCACATGCTAACCATTCGACTCCCACTTCTACAAAATCTATATTAAATTGAGTCGTGGAGCTTACTGGTCACTTTCTGTTGTACTATTTTCTCGAGAACTTTTCTTCTGGTGTCTTAAAAAGCTAACAGCTTCTTCTAATTCATCTTTTAGCTTAAAAACTCCTTTATATAAAACTTCATAGATAATTGCTGTCAAAATATACAAATAAATTCATACAATGTTAAATTCATAGACAAGACAGGACATCTAGTTTTGAATGTTTTCAAATCACAATGATTATGTATTTAAGGTTCTGGGGGCAGTTATTCATAATTTTTTTAAAGATACATTATGGGAGATTTGATAAGGAGTTGACAGTTCTCACTATAATAGTTAAAAACTAGATAATGTAAAGGCAATTTGCTGAAAATTTCATTCAAATTGATCAACTATGATCTGAGAACAAAGAGAATGAAATTTCCACCTAGCCTCTATCATCATTACTAAAGTCAGTATTATTAACAGCATAGTCTCGATTATCCATTTAATCGTTAAATCGTGAAGGAAAGTTATGCAGTAAATTGGCTCAAAATCTAATAACGGTCCCAGGCTAGCGATGCCATCTAGAGTTGATTATGGTCTGGATAGGTTAATTAATGTCTAATTAATAGTTTATGTAACATTTCAAGCCTAAAGAAAGACCTGCAATAGGCAGATTTAGCTCTTGTATAATGTATGTTTAACTTATAAATATGAATCCAATTTCATGGTTTTAATTTGGATTAAAGTCAAAGATGGCCAGTTTAACACAGAATAATTGGGTGTGGCAAAAAAAACAAAACAAAAAAAAACATACTACAATAACAAAAGAAATATCCGTTTCATTCACTATTGTCATGCTTTAATGTTTCACTTCTGTATACCGAGTAAGAATTAATGAGTTTGGGTACAATGTATATTCATTTTCAAGTATTTGTTGTGCGATTCAGCTTGTGTCGATAAATCACATGTAAATTTGCTGACCTATGTATAATTTGACTAGAATATTTCATCATTACACCAACATGTACAACAAATATTGATAATGATATTATGAAAACAGTAGTTATTATTAACACCATGGTTTATCAATACTTACATTGACATACAGATAAACCATCAATATAAGTCTGTTGATAAACTATATCATAATGGATACCATCAACATGACATAGGAGAACCTTAAAATATAGAACAGAAATATACACCCATATAAAGCTTTATCTACAAAATATGACATCCCAGGGCTCAAAATTTATATACCACAAACAACCATGTTTTTAAAACAAGTGATTGCCATGCAAGATACGCCCACATTTTGCAAGAGATGGACAGAGAAAAAACCTTATAAAATGCGATTTTTTGGACTTTTTGGACAATCAGGAGCCATAATCCAGGAAGTCACGTTTCGATACATGTCAATAGTGACAGGAACACAGGTCTTTGGGATATAACTATACATTTTAAGTTTCATCCAAACCGGATTTTTGTGACCTCAAGAGGGACCACAACTTTGGTATTGCATACTTTTACATATGGGGAGTGGCCATTTTCGGTCCGATTTCTGCCACATTAAAAAATCATCCGTTATTGCAGTGTAATAGTCATGTATTTCAATGGTTTTTAAAATTGGATAAAAATTGTGACCTCTATAGGGACCACACGCTAAATATGCGATTTTGCGAACAATCAGGGGCCATAATTCAGGAAGTTAGTCTGATATGCGCGAATATCGAAAGGATCGAAGATCTTGGGTTGTTAACATGCATTTTAAATTATCATCAAAATTGGATAAAAGTTGTGACTAAAAACGTGATTTTTCATACAATCAGGGCCATAATCCATGATGTTATGGTCCGATACATGCCCATATCGAAAGAAACCAAGATCTTAGCGAGATAAACCACCATTTCAGGTTTCCTCAAAATCTGATAAAAATTGTGACCCCTAAAAGAGTGTCGGAGAGGAAATGAAATGAAATGTAATGGGGTTTAACGTCCTACTGTTCTGCTCCTATACTGGGCTAATGAAGACGGGCATACGCCATACAGTGTGCTATGAGGGAAATTTTTGCCCGGGCAGCGGCACTATCGCCTACTCTTATATCGAATTTCAACTGCCAAGGGATCTTTTACGTGCATTCCAATGTATACACGGGACCTCGGTTTTTCGTCTCATCCGATGGACTAGACAGCTGTCCGTGTCAGGCCCTCCATTCTGCACCACTGACAAGGGGAAACCACCTCGGAAAATCCCGATGAACTTTCTCGGTCAATGCAGGGAACGAACACCCGACCTCCAGGCTAACGAGCCAGCGTCTTAACCAACTAGCCACCGTGGCTTCGAGTGTCGGAGAGGGGCGACAATATACGTCCACATGAAAATTTTGGCTTCCGATACGGGTGCTATCGACGGCAATTTAAGGTATTGCAATGGCCAATGGCTGTTGTATCTTTGATTTTTTTTTCTTCAAAATTTACAACAGCAATTTTCTACCCTTGAGGTTAAAGCTATCAATGGCTATTTCTAGGACTTACAACAGCAATTTCTGCGATAACTGTCATGAATTTTGAGCCCTGCATCCACACAGTCTTCTCAGCTGAAATCTGGGGTTTTTTTTTGGAATACAAAAACACAAAGTCCCTATGTGAACTCGGATAAGAGATATCAAGTGTTTTATACAGGAAAAAGTAAAGATAGTTTGGATCTGGATTTCACAAGCCAAAGATACTGCCCCCCCCCCCCCAGTTCACAAAACATTCTCAAGCCTTATGTTCAGAATTTACTCAAAATTGTCTGCCTTATTTTGCCTTAAATATGAAGCTTTTCGTTCTTTTATAATGTATCAAATACATCAATAAGAAACAATATGCAACATTTTGTTTTTCTAGATCAAAGATATTTCTCATAAACAATCAAGTAAATTCTTAACGTAAGTCTGAGAATGCTTTGTGAAACCGCAACCTGGTATTTTGTGACCTTTTTTGTCCCATCCGAATGACACACTTTCTTGTTTGGTCTTCCACCTTTCACAACTGACAAAATCTCAACAAACTGGGACCCTCTGGACAGTAAGCCGGTGCCTTACTTTTGAGTAGCTTTAAAGTAGCTAAGTCTAACTCAATATCATCCAAAATCTTCAACATTGAAAACACGATTTATTTGTCAAATTAAATCAACATTCATGTTGTGATCTTACCGGAAAGAGATGGGCTTTTGATATCCAATATTCAAGACAAAATAAATATTTTACCATTTGTACACGAATCGTGTACCATAATGCGCTTCAGCCCCAGTTGTATCAAGAGACTCGAGGGACGAGGCTAGACAAATTGCACCAAATCAAACGGCGTTTGTAGACTGGAATAACCAGACGCTAGAAATTTACACTCGATTGAGATTGCTGACTTATTTCGCCGAACATAACTGATTTGAAATTGGGAGTAAAATCGAAAAACCATAGAATGTAAATCAGTTTATATACATTCATATTACAGTATTATATGCGTTGCGACCCACTTTTGTCAATTTCTAGGTCCCAAATGTTAGCGATTTAGCTCCTTTAAATGATATCGACTACGAAAACTAACCAAAGAAAAAAGTTGAATTGTTTTTACGTACAGACACCAACAATTCCCTAACAAATTAAAGAAGAGTTTATGTCAGCTCACCGTTTTTTCAAATCCATTTTTTGTAACGTTAACTGGCATATCATCTGGACTTTGAAATATTATAATATCATATCTAAAATTATAGAAATTCAAACACATTAAACAATATATTGTCAGGAATAAACAAGAAATGAAAAAAACCTTCAAGACAGCAACAAATTAATTCTAAAAATTTGGGCGTAGAAAAATGAATGAATGAAATGGAATTTCTGCACCAACCAGGTGATCTATAAGGACAATTTTGCACGGACGTCGGCATTTCCAAGCACACAAACCGGACCCATAACTAGGGGGAGCGCAGGGGTGGGGAGTGGGAGGCAAAGCAAAAAGTTTCCCACCCCAGCCCCCCCGTGATAAAATTGTCGACCATATAAACAATAGATATACATTGTCTGTCAATTTTACAGCACCCCCTGAGAACACTTCCTGCCCCACCTCGTTGCTCTGAGCTAGTTACGTCCCTGGCGCCAACGTGTACATAGGATCTCTTTTTTCTGTTCCATCTAGACATTGTTCCTCGCCAGGTACTACAAGGAGAAATCACACGGAAAAATCTCAAGGAACTTTGTCAGCAATTGAACCCAGTACCTTGATCCTGGCTGGTGAGCCACCACTTAAATCAAAGAGTCATTTTGGCAATCAAAAAAAACAAACATGGAATAATTTACTTTGGAAAGAATTTTTGTCTACAGTAGTTTTATACTACATTATACTAATTAACATCAATGTTACAGAGAGAGAGAGATGGGGTTTAACGTCCACTCAGCACAAACCAGGTCATTTTGTGACTAACACAATTCAATTTTATTTCAATAATTTTCTTGCGTTCAGGGGTCTTTAGCATTGGGAGGACCTGGAGAAAACCCACAAGGTTGGACAGGCAACCCTACTCCTTGTCACGTAAAACCAGGGAATCGAAACCACGTACGCCAGTTGACACAATGACAGACCTTATGATACAA